GTCTGTTAGAGAAGCCCTTGACAAAATCATCTCTATTGATGCCGAAGTAGTAGATATGTCTAAGAAATTTCTAGCCATTTTAGATATTGGAAATACAGTCTCGTGCCTCTTCCATCAATTCAATAAATTTTCTGAACTATTAGCCCTGCCTTCAGATAACTATTTTGTAATTTCATATTTCCAGGAATTTTCATCGACTAGGTCTGGGATTTTACTACAAGCTGTTTGAAAGAAAGTTATTACATCTATATCAAAATTTTCGGAATCTTTATATTGGCTTTGGAAGGCTGATTTTGTTTTGTTGAATAGTCACTTCATTGGCTTCAAAATCATATTAATTTTCATCAGGGATAAATTCTGAACCGCCGGATAGAAATGGTTCGGGCTCGGACATTTCCAAATCACTCATTAATATTTTTTTCTAAAGAGATAGGTGGTCAGCATAAGCCTCAAGCTGTGTTTTGTGCCTCCGGCGCTTGGCAAAATATAAATCTAAAACAAATAATCTTTCGACGACGCATCGTCAGCCGGGATACTATATCCCTACTACAGTCTGTTCGCTATACTTACGCGGGTTACGGATTAAAAATTTTATGAGTATTTCCAGATAAGTACCCGAAAGTTTGACCTGTTTTTTGGGGAAATATCAACTGGTTAAATGAAATGAAAAATAATGTACAACTTTTTAATTAAATAATAATGGAGAATCTTTTGTATAATTGAGAGCAGAATTAAACTTCTTCATTAATGGAGTCTAATGTGGCTATTATAAACCAAATAATAATTTTATATTACATTTCACACAGAAAATATGGTCTATGTATAATAAGAGGGTTATTTAGCTGAAATAAAATATTTTCTAACATAAAAATTTGTTCCATGTAGAGAATTTCAAATGAAAAATAAAAAAAATTGAACTTGCCAACAAAAATGAAAATCAGTCATTAACATTTAAAATATCATAATCGTCACCATGTTCCTTGTTGGCCCTCATTCGATAAATGGTATCACGAATTTCAAATTTCTTTTCATCTGAAATATCTTTCGTTTTCAATGATGGGCGACTTTTGCGGTGATCTTCTTTCGGCAGTTCACTATTGTGATTTTGTAATACTCCTCTTAATTTGGTTTCACTAATTTCTAGAGCATCGTATACGCGTTGTTGTACAGACATTACCGATTTTAAAGGACCACCATTTTCTTTTTCATCCGTAAAATACTTATGTTCACTACAAATTAGACTATCTACATCTAACACACGTCTAGACATTTTTAAAATTTCCACTAAATTTACGATATACATACAATGTCAAGACTTGCAAAGAATCAATTCAACTGCAATATTTGTAACAAATTTAGTACTTACCCTAATGTTATTTTAATTTAAATCTGACCATCAGGGCAATTTTACCTAATTTCTTGGGAAGCGGCTTATTGGAACTGGTTATCAATGACTAATTTGTATAATTCTGGAGAACTACTCTTAATGAATAGGAACCAGTTGAAAGTGATAACAGGGTTCATGACTGGGCACGCCCCAGTAAAAGGACACTTGAACAAAATTGGCCTGTACAATGGGGAACTCATGTGCCGACTATGTCACAAGAAACCAGAAACGGCCAAACACATACTGTGCGAATGCGAAGCTCTAGATCGCAAAAGACAGGCTCTTTTTGGACAACCCCAGGTTGATCCAACAACGTATAGAACCCACTCACCCAAGGATCTGTACAAACTTGTACAAGGTACAAAGGTGATAGAGTGGGTGCTATAAACTAACATGGGGTAAAACACAATAAGCCAATAGGCTTCAGTGTTATTCGGAGACACATAGTCAGACGACCCCAGGAAAAAAAAAATTGCATAATTTTGTTAATCCTAAACCCGCGTAAGTATAGCGAACAGACTGTATGTCTCATTGTGTAACCTTGAAATTTAAAAAGCGTTACGGCCGGTGCCGGTACGTACACTTTTCATATTTCAAACAGTTTGAAAAAGTTTGATTTCAAATCAAGCTCTCGAATTGATTTTCAAATCAAATCAAATTCTTTTATAAAAAAAAAACTTGATTTTTCATGTCAAATCAAACTTGACTAGTCAAATCAAACTAGTTTGATTTGATGCATCTCTAAGTTAAAGACTAACCGAAAGCTAACTGTAACCTTACTTTTAGGGTTCTGTTAACCCATTCTTAAGAGATAATCTTCACTTTATAACCTACATGTTCTTTGACATTATAGATGCTTTAAATATTGTTAATGTCTACAGTAGCGAAGAGGAAGGCCAAAAATAATTCGACAGAGGCTTAATTTTATGGAACAATACATTAGCTTAGATTTTTTCAAAATATTTAGATTGTCGAAGCGGACTATTGAGATGATCATTAATGAAGTTCGGGACCTACAGTTAAATGTTCTTTGTCTAAATAATAGATTCTTGAATAGATTTATAGAAACATTCCAAATTCCAAGAATTGAAAATTTGGCGTCTTCTTAAATCTTTATAAGTTATCTTTCTTTTTTAGTTTGAATATGTCATTCATTGAGGTTTAAAAACAACATTAGAATACCCACGATGAAAGACAATAGGTCTGTTCGGGTTCTTTAAAATACATTGAAAACTATCAGAGGACTAGTTGACCAGTGGACAGTTTAATAGTTGTGTGCGACGTATACTTTAGAATTGAACTGTTCCACTAGTTCTCGGACGGTTTGCATCGAGTTTTAAGGAAACCCGAACAAACCTTAAATTCACCGGGAGAATAGCACAGAACCATCACAGAACTCATAAAAATACAACGTTGCCAATTTGAAATTCATTTAAAATCTAGGTCAATTAATAAGAAGTACAATTTACATTGAAAAACGCTTCTTATTTTAACTAAAAGTTAACCTTCAAGTAGAGGTTAGTTAACGTCCAAGTTAACATTATATTAAATTTGACTGCATAACGTGTATATCTATTGTTTCTGTGACTGTGCGATGATTGCATTGTTGTATATTTAGTTTTTAAAAATAAATAAATCCAAAAAGAACTATAAGAAAATCTAAAATTAATAAAAACTATTTGTGTTATTCTTTAAAAAGAAAAAGAACCTGTAACAATATTTGAGAATATTGGAGGACGTAAGTAATTTTAGTACTATTTTTATCTGGATTCCGTTGATAGATACTCAGTGTAAACAAGAACTGCTACCACACGTAGGTCGGAGACAGGCCCTGCGATCGGCGGACCACTAGATTAAGTGTAACGGTTTTAGAAATATTGGTTGTAGGAAGTTCCTCCCATTAAAAAATTATTATTCTTTACTATGTTTTGGGAGATATAAAGTTAAATGCCACAGTAAGGATTCGACTTCGATATAATCAGGTGTTTTTGAACAGTGTGTGATATATAGATAAAATCCAAACAGGTTTTTGTGTATTTCACTTTATTTTATTAAAATATTTATAAAATTCGGTAAGTAGTAAATTAAGTAAATAAATAATGGCAGAAGACGGGGGCGGTCCCGGGCCGCCCTCACTGGAAAATAATAATAATAATAATAATATAGATATTCAGGAGACAACTCAAGATAATGAATTTCGTTATGACCTAAATAATAAATACCAACTTAATGATATCGGTCCATTCAACGTTTTTTTAGAACATAAAGATAAAATTTGGGAAGGCTATTTCCAATCAAAATAGGCTTTTATCTGCAACAAGACAAAGAATTACAAAACAATATCATAGACATCAAATCAGTAGGTCTAAAGAGAGTTAAAGTCATTTTTAAATCTTACAAAGCGCAAATTCTTTAATAAATCATTATTTAGTTAAAAATGATGATCTGATCGCATTTACTCCAAAAATTTTTAATCATAAAAAAGGTATTATACGAACGATTGATACATTTTTCACGGAAGAATTTATTAAACACGCTATTGTTTCAAATGTGCCAGTGGCGGAGGTTAGGAGATTAAAGCGCAGAGTCGTAGATGAAAACAAATCGGTAGTTTATGTAAATAGGCAGATGGTAGTTGTAACTTTTGTTGGCAATAGAATCCCAGATTGCATAAAAATTAATATAGTCAATTTTCCAGTAGAACCGTATATACACCCAGTAGTGCAATTTTTGAATTGTTTACGCTATGGTCATGTTAAAACTCAGTGCAAATGTAAAACACGATGCGGTAAATGCTCACAAGAACACGATGACAGTGTCCCTTGTACAACAGAAAATTATTGTATTCATTGTAGTAACTCCGAACACTCCTCCATTTCAAGAGAATGTCCCCATTACAAAAAACAATATAAAATCAAAGAAATAATGGCTTCTGTAAACGTCTCTTTCAAAGACGCAGAAATGATCTATAACAACCCATCATACGCAAAAATATCTACGAAAAATCGTTTTGCAATTTTAAATAATCTATAAAACTTCCCTGAACTTCCTCCACAAAACCAAACAGCAACTAATGTAAACATAGTATCTAAACCTAAATATAAACCAAATGCCCGACCCTCACAACCAGGCAAACGAAAGAAGCCCGAGTCTCCCTTGCCATCCACTTCTCAAGAAGCCCCATCATATTAAAAAAGAAAAATAGGTCGCACTCCCTCTTCAATCCTCCCAAATTCTCATAGAGATGACTTCATGTTATTTAAAGAAAAACTAATAGTGAATATTTCTAGTTTTATTATTGAAGCGATAAAAAACACTAAATCTTTAAATAATGAACATATAAAACATTAGTGAAATTTTCTATCAAATGGATAAAAACATCAACAATAGTAGTGTAAATGATTATAATATAATACCAATAAGTGATGATGACGACGACCTATCACCAAGGGCGGATCCAGCCTTTTAGTCAGGGGGGGTCACATCAGACCATCAGAGGCCCTCTCCCAAAGATAAAAAAAAAATATTTACTTAGAAAATCTATTATTATCAATTTAGTTGATATATAACTTGTAACAACTTGTAAGACTAACATTTTAGTACTTACTTTAAATTAAATAACGAAATCAATTTTTCTCTTCTGCCTTCTCGCGAAACGATTAATTACTTCTTCTACATCAACAGGAACATTTTTATGAATGTGGAGAAGCGCCAATCCTGTTAGACGGTATTCCGCTATTGATGCTCTCAACCAAGTTTTCAGCCTCCTAAGTGTGGAGAAGGACCTCTCTGCCATCGCTACACTGACTGGTAGTGTAGCAGGAATACACAGAAGCTTTTTCATGTTAGGATACATATCACCATCGCAATGCATTATCCGATCAGAAAACGTCTGCGGTATAGCCTGATCCCGTTTCCATTTTTCTGTCCACAGCCGATATTCGCTGATTATGACCGACACTAGCGTGTTGTCTATTAGTGGTTTATAGGTTACGGCGAGATGTTTAACCGTTTCCATTTCCTCATTACTACTGATTAGCTTTTGGAATGAACACGCCAAGTTGGAATAAATCAAGTACCTATGGAGATAACCGCTCTTGCAGATCATTTATGAGTCCAGAAGAGGGATGTAGACGCTCCTGCGAAAATACTCCTCGACTGATTATTAGCTCTATATGTACTTGTCTTGATACTAATCTGGGGCATTTTATTTCAACGTCAAGTTGCTCGGCCAATTCTTTTGCTTCATCAAAAAGTCGTTGAAACACTGTGTTTACTTGTTCCCTTTTTTGTCTCAGAACACTAATTGTGTCGTTTATAGCATCTGTAGCCCTCTTTAAATCAATCGAGCTCATTTGGAATACTCTGCTCAGGGATACAGTTGTGCTTAAAAAAAATTAGTTATATTAAACTAAAATTTTAGCATGCTTTGGTCACTGTGTACCTACCTAAAACATCACTCAAGCAAATAAATGATATTAAAAAGTCCGAACTGCACAATGTTTGCAACAAGCAATGCGTGTCATTAGCAGTATTGTTCTCTTACCAAGTAGAAATCTTTTCTAGAGCGCTACAAATTTTAACTAAGTTGTCACCTTGAAATTGTAGTTGGCCATCATGCCGTTCAACCCAACGCGTCTCACAGATACCCTGCATTGTAGTTCCAAGCTCTCTTTCAAAAATTTGATGCCTCTTAGCGGAAGCATTGGCAAATGCCACAACTTTTCTCATTGTGCTTGAAGTATTATGGCAAGAAGTTACTTTAGATGACATAGCTAACGAGTTATTAAGAACATGATTGCTGCATGGGTAACGTTTGGCATGTACAGCTTTTTTGATAACTCTTTTACAGCCCCCTTTGTCTCTGAAGCCATAACCGAGCAGCTGTCTGTCCCAATACCCACACATCATGTTATATCCAAATTAGGTGAACATCACAAAAAGTTCACAAAATCTTCCTTTATAGTACCATTATAAAGATATCTAAATGAAAGGCTCAGCTGCGAAATATGTGATAGGTCCGTTGTTTCATCGAATAAAATTAAAAAGTATTTAGCAGCCTTCACATTCTGTAAAATATTTTCCTGAATAATTTCTTTGCAAACATCAATCAACTCATTTTGCACAGTTTTGCTAATGTATGTTGCATTCGACTTACAAGTCTCTAAATGATGTTACAATGCTTTGTCACCAGATTTTATACGGAATTTTAAGAGTGCTCTAAAATTTCCTTCGTCAGCTACCATGCTGTTATTACCTGCTTCCACATCCAACAAATTGCCATCGTCGCGATGGCCAATTAAAGATATATATTTTAATGACCACAAAAAATTATCTTTTTTACAATAGATCGTAATCATTCCCAATTTTCATTAACTTGTGTCATTCTTTGGATACTTATTTGGTTAATAATATTAAGTTCTGGTTTGTAAAAAGTTGTTAAAAAGTTTTTTCCACTTTTGACAGCTATTTGATGGTACTGATTTCGCTGGTGAGTTAGCAACACACCATTTTCATCAAGCAAATCATCAAAAGCTTTTAATTGTTCTTTGACTAGACGTTTTAGAGATGTTTTCGACCGAATGCCACCTCCGAGTGTTTCTCCAAATAAAACACAGTATTTGTAATAAAGGCCCTGATCTTTATGCGATAAAACAAGCCAGTGAAACGTATTAAGGTGTGACTTCTTTGCATATTTCTTTGTTTGTTTTTCCTTTTTTGGTAACAACGCAGTGTGGAAAAATATAATTTGGGGGTGGCAACCAATGCTTTTCAAGCAACACAGCTCTTGTTGAATCGTCTAGTTTTTTTCCTACATACCACGTTAAACAAGCGCGAAGACAATGAGCGGAATGGCTGAACCACAGAGCTGAACTGACCTCTAACATGCTGGATTGGTTCACCTCGACATAGAGCGGGGGTGGAATGGCGTTACTGTGAACTGTGACGTCATCAAACATCGAAAGCTTGGCCGTGAACTAATAGAGATGGGAGATTAGATGGAGATGGCATGACCGGACGGGCTGACGGACAACACGACGCCGTAAAACTACAGCGTTCATAATTGGTAGAAAGTAGATACTTAAAAAATATGATCAGATGTAAGCCTCTCAGGGGGGAGGGGGGGGGGGCATGATCCCCATGACCTCCCTGGATCCGCCCTTGCCTATCACACTAACAATAAGTTGAATATATTACACTGGAATTATCATTCAATTAACGCTAATAAATCCAGTCTTTTAAATTTTATTGAACAAAACTCTTGTGATATAATTGTTGTATCAGAAATATGGCTCAAACCCAATTCCAATTTTTTTATAAAAGGATATAACTTTATACAGAGTTGTAGAAATGATGGTTACGGGGGTGTTGGTATATTTGTTGTTCAAGGTATAGATTATAAAGGACGAAAAATAAATAAAACATTTAATAAAGGAATCGAAGCATGTGCAATAGACATTAACTGTGCAAACTTAACAATACTTTCTGTATACAAACCTCCAGATGTCAAAGTCACTCAGCAAGACTGGAAAAAATTGTTTGAACAATTCACTAATAAAACAATTTTTTGTGAAGATTATAATGCACGTCACCCCTCTTGGGGCCCAATTCCGGAAGATCCAAATGATGGGATTCTCTATAATGCATTAGATAACCTTGATTTAGTTACATTAAACGACGGCACCCCAACTAGAATTTCCCCAAGCGGCACACAAACGGCAATAGACTTAACTGTTACAGCTCCTCGTTATGCAGACTTATTCAATTGGGAGGTACTACCAGACACATTGGCTTCAGATCATTTTCCAATTTATATGGAACTTCAAAGAAATCCATCATCCTTTCAAATAAACCTTTCTACTAAATGGAATGATTTAAAAGCCGATTGGTCCAGTTTCCAAACAAGTATTATATCTTCATTTGAAAATCTACCTTCTTTTGACTCCCTAAATGATTGTGAGAAAATCGAGTTCATCTTCGATACTATTAATTCTGCTACAACAAACTCTCTGCCCACTAAAAAACCATTTAAACTCACTACTTATAGGCCATTTTGGTGGGATGAAAAATGCTCAAATATGACTTCAATTCGAAGACAAGCATTAAATGAATATAAAAAACAATCAAATTATGTAAATTATCTGCATTACCAAAGTATAGCTGCAAATACGAAACAGCTATTTAAACAAAAACAAAAATCCAGTTGGATTTCGTTTATAAACAAAATAAATAAAAGCACACCAATATCAGATATATGGCGATCTATGAAGTCAATAAATAAAAAATCTCGTACATCCAAAAAAACTCAAATCTCAAATGAATTAATAAAAAAACTATTCGATATTTAACCCCTCCATCTGTCCTTGGAAACCTCTTTGGTCCCCAATTTATATTTTACTCTGAGTCAGATTATTTGTTGAAATCTTTTAGCTACTCTGAATTGGATTTTCTTTTGAAAAATACACGAAATACAGCACCCAGGCGCATATTCGTATCAAGCGTGCAGTATCGCAGGCTCGTCTTTTCCGAGTACCGCCGAATGCATCGACGTATCCAGAGCGCGAGAACGCATTATGCTAGATGTATCCAACGTTCGAAATTGCAATTATTAATTTTTGGCATTTGTCATGGTCTTATCTATCGAAGATGACCCTGATAATTTTATTCCGACGGTGGATGTTTGTATAAATTCGTATAATAAATACGTTAAGTCAGAGTCAACGTTAATGTCAGCGTTACACAATGCTTTCAAACCACGTAAAAAACACAAGGATCAATTCGACAGAAAAAATATGCCGAAAAGGAAAAAAGATATCGGTTCAACCAACATCAGTTTCAAGAAGAAAGGTTCATGCATGTGGACGTAGAAAAGTGCAAAGTGGACGAAAAGTTTCTTCTTTAGTTAAAAAGAAGGCGAAAGCACCCCACAATTTACTCCTGTGCGTGGAGAAAAATATACCTTTAGGAGAAAATAAGTTTTTAAAATAAGTAAATTGTGTATTTTCTTAAAAAAACATTAAAATTACTTTGTTTATACTTGTAATAAAACTTTAAGGCGAATGTGTTTTGGATTATATGCCACATAAATTTAAAACTATTACTTAGGGGGCGCATATCTTGTCAATATGTTGCGATATCGAACGCTGAGTACCACGCGAAAAGCCTGAACAATGCGTTCTCGCGCGCTGTATACCTGAACGGATTCGAGGGAACTCGGAAAAGGTGAGCATGCAATACTGGACGCTTGATACGAATATGCCACCCGGGCTAGACGGGTTTACCTATAAAATTCTATATAATTTACCACCCATAGCTAAACTCGCACTCTTATAGTCCTGCCAATATCAATTGCAGAACACAGTTATGTGGGGAATCATCAAAATTTAATATATACGCACGGTACTCATGCCAAATTTAGAAACGAAAAATAATATTTACTCCCCTTATACGATGCGGTAAATATTAAAGGAACGGTCAGTCAACGTGTACTTGATATATATGTGTCAAAATCCATCATCTCCGTTGTTAACCAATGAAAACATCGAATCGTAAACTTAAATGTACTGTATTGGCCGAAGGTTTACGAAGGGGAGGAGTGTTCGAAAATATTCCTGGAAGACAGTCTGCGATATCAGTGGAGTACTGTCGTGCGGTGTGTTTTGTATGTGTGGTTGGTTTAATTTAAATTTCTTTTAATAAATATAAATATGACGTTCTTTAGACCGTGGGCGAATGAAGAAAATTAAATTGCACAATGTAGTGAGATTAAAGACAGGTATAACTTTAACAATAAGGATTTAGATATACAAACACAACAAGTTATTTTAAATATATTCGAATGTTTAAAAAAGGAAAATATTCAGCAGTCTGATAATGCGATCATAATAAGAATTGCTGAATTAACTAAAGTAAATAAATTTTCCATTTATCGGGTAGTCACAAAAGGGGTTGCTGTGGATCATTCACAAAACCGAAAAACATGTAAAGAAAAACTGAAATCAGTTGACAGAGCTACCCAAGGTTTTATACGAAGGACAATTTATAGTTTATATAAGGAGAACAGGGTTCCAACATTGGAAGTAATACAGCAAAAGGTAGCAGATTTATAATAATACTCTCCCTAATTCACCCCCTTACGAGTGAATTTTAACCCCAAAAGCTGAGCTTGTCCGGGGAAAGGGACGGCTATTATTATTATTTGCCGTGGCGCTCCGGGGCGACTTAAAGATGATTGATGGTGCCATTTGACTTACAGGTGAGGAAAACCCGGAAAACCTCACCCACCATCATCGAGACGGTAATGTATGGCGAATTTTTTTAATCTGCATGTCATATTAACAGAAATTGAATTTCTATTAATACGCCACACATCAAATCCTAAACCGAACCATGCAATTTAATTAAAAATCCACATGGTCTGGTCTGGGATTCGAAACCCAGCAGTCTCAGACTCATAAACTTGCCTATAAATGAATATAAGCGCGATAGACCGCTACACCACCGTGCCCGATAGGCTACACTTATACCAGTTTGGAAACATTGCGTCAAGTTTTGTCAGTATGTGGTTTTAAACACAAAAAAATGAATAAACGGATGGCAATCACCGAATCGTCAAGGATAATTCAATGGCGACAAGATTATTTGCGTCAGATAAAAGAGTACAGAAGTTCTAATAGACACATAATTTATCTAGATAAAACATGGTTTGACAGTCACGATGTAGTAAATTTCGGTTGGGTTGACAGTAGTAAAAATTGCTGTTTGAATGGGCCATGTTCTAAAGGGAAACGTATTATAATAGTACACGCTGGAAGCAAAGACGGTTTCGTGCCTAATGCTTTATTATTATCTGTTAAACAAACTAAAAACTGTGCAGCTAATTATCATGAAGATATGACAGCAGGATTATT